ATTCGTTGCAAATTCGCGTTTCATTCGCGAAATTCTGAGCGAAAAGTTTCACCAAAGCAGAACGCGAATGATTGCTCTGTATATTCGCATTTTTGCTGGCAGGGCCTCAGCCCGACCGGCTGACGTTACCCGCTGGCACCACTCTCAAATCTCGCTTTTCGCTTAGATTTACTTTAACATTTAATTAATTTTGTTATTTTTATTGAAATAATTTTCGAATGCTGGGATTCTTTAAAAGTAAAAGAACAATTTTCTATTGAAAGGGTGACCCCACCTGTAAAAAAGTCACAGTGTAATCATCTATTACTTCGGTATTTTTGATTACAATCATGAAAAAAATGCATATTCCCTGATTTAATTCCAAAACTCACTGAAACAAAGTAATGTAGCACTAATAGTCAAAATATGTTTGTTATTGTTAATGAAAAGTATTGAGTCCTATGTATAGCTGATGTGTAAAGATATCAATGAATTTAAAGATCCTCCACAAAGAAGAAATATTACAGCAAAAAATATAAATGCGCATGCAGTTGTACACGCAAAAAGCCTATAGCAACCATTTTGTTTTAGAGCACACTCTAGGAGATTAATTCCAATGGTTTCGCTATAGATAGAAAATGTTTTGAACACAAAATCTTCGACTTCAAGGTTAAACCCCATTAAATTTACTACCCCATATGATGTAGCTATTTAACTGGAACGGACAGGTAGCGTAATATTTTACCGCAATTTGAGGACTCTAATTCACCTAATCAGATCATATGAAGCAGATCGCTCACGCACACCCACTGGTTAGAATAACGCATAATCAGCAATAAGAATGATGTACCAATGGAGCAATGACTGTATGTCTTCATAGGCATGGCCTATACAATCAGTTTATACCACAAATCGATCGATGAGATTTTTCTGAATGGGTTTTACCTCTGGTCTGAAGACCACGGTTCGGCAGTTTAGGATAAAACACGTGATCTGCCCAGGCAACCTAACCTTCGGGTTATCGTTCCACAGTCCCTACACTACGTCCCAGGTGTGGAACAGACTTGTAATGTTTCAAGTGATCGTACACCGATGTCTCATTACCTGCACCTAATGTTTCATTTAAAACCTGGACTGTTGAAGTGACTGAGAGGAGGCAGGTCACAAAATCGTGACCTGTCACTCTGGCGATCCCAACACTTGATCAGTCGGTCATGTGTACGTAAGATAGCAGTGCTAGTGAGTGAATCAACCTCTAAGCTCGTTCTGCGTCAATAGACCAGTATGTGTATACCTGAGGAGCCCGAGATCACACGATTGGGATTGGTGGATTTTAGTGTTTGAAGAGAGTCGAAATTTTGCTCGTGTTGAGTACGTAGTGTGAAATGCTCGACCATTCCATCATCTATTATGGAAGCGCATTGTAGAATATGCGGCAACTGGAATGATATCCTATTCCCTTAACAGTTCATCAGTTTTTCAATCAAATACTCGCTTCTATCAATAGCCCTCCCTGCTACCGTTCTTTCCTCGGTAGTTTGGTGCGGTTCAAGTTTTCTGGTCGTTTACCGTTACCGTTACTCTGTCTTATCAAAAATGTTTGGGTGCATTTAGACACTATTTCAGCCAGATTCTTGCTGTGGTCAAAGGAAAGCTGATTCACAATACATACTATTTTTTCATGCAAACAATATCCGTCCATTCTTGCGTTTCAGTCACGTGCTATTTCAACCAGATTTGAGCTGTACTGGTAAGATTGATCACCGTCTCATTCTGCATTTGTGAATAAAAGTCAATGAGCTTGCTGACACTAGCATACCAGTATATAAACACACACAAACACGCTTAACAATCGATAAAGTCTTTGCGCATTCCCAAAATCACTTTCTTCATCCTTGTTCTTGATTGCTTCTTGACTGCTCGCGCTCGCTCGATCAGTCCGACTTATAAGAGTCTTACTTACGTCACTTTGGTGTGGTTGATATCAATGTTGTCACAACTGTGTTTATCGTTTCCACTTTGATCTGTCTAATATTCTACGGTACCTGGATTAAAAATAACTGCACTGTGGTAACCAACTGCACATAGAGCGACCGGATCAGTTCTCTTTCCCCGTCGGTCTTCTCACCGGACTGCAAAGTAGAAAGGCAAAAGGTCTTTCAATGGGCACACAACATGGATTGTGAAAGTGCGAACGGGTGGACACAAATGAGATGCCACCAGCAACATAGACTCGCAATGTCCGCATGAAGTTGGGAACGATGCAAGAAAGCAGTATACGTCAATATTTGCGTCTGATCAGGTAGGTGTGTATTCCGTTCCATGGTCGCTTTTTCACTTCCAATCGTCGGTACCAATTTTCCTGCGCACTCACATTGACCTCGTCCAAGGAAGCTGGGTCATCCTCGAAACTCTGTTGAGAGTCAATCGCTTGCGGATTCTCACAACTGGCCCCTGACTGCTTTCTCTCGTTTGTTTCCGTTTCAGCGGGCTGAGTGCACAAAAAAGGAATGTACGCACAAGAAGATCATTGTGATTGAAAAGTTTTGGAAACCTATGCTAGTCGGTCTCCACGAAACAATGTGGAGCATCGTTCAGCTAAAACACCCAGTCTGGCGATCGCTAGACATTTGCTCATGACATAACACTGTGCTGCTGGCGTCCCGGATCATTCGCCAGACTGATAAAACTGAGATGCTCTAGCTTACTGAAGTGACTGCAAAAAGTCGCCAGAGGTCCCCCCCTGTGTCCCAAAAAGAATCAATTGTATGTTGCACTCAAGCTACCGTGGTAACCTCTCTCAACAACTATGACCATTTTCGGCCTAGTACTGATCTAATCCCGTATGTAAACAGTGTAATTTTCTGCAGTTATCACCAATATGAATGCAAAAATGTTGTTTCAACCTCGAATCGAGCAGTTTCACGCTTTGGGATTCTCCTTCCAGGGTTTTACCGTTATATATAAATCTATAAGCAACAACTTGATATATTCGGATGCAAAGAATGCTTATGAAGTTCAACGAAGAGTGATGGAGAGCTGCTCCATCTTTGCTAGGGATTAGCAGCATTATGCGCTACATTTGTGTCCCCGGTGGAACTCTAACAAGAATCTTTGGATTTGGAACCGAAACTGTTACTCCTGGGTTACACGTTCGACATATACGTCGAGAAGCGAACAAACTCCGCCGTAGATGCATGCAGAAGTGGGCTAACTGAGGGTTTATTTTTATGATGAGAAAAGTGATCGTACTTCGCGGGGCGGACCACACCCAAGGAAACTGGACCGTCCCTAACGAATAAGGTGCTTTCTAGGCCACACTCGCTTGCCCTTTAGAGCTGAGGGAAAACTATGAGAGAGGATCCGATAATCCAAGCACCAGCGAACGAAAGGCAAAATTGGACGTTATATGAGAGATCTGCAAAATCACCCCAATGAATGTTTTCCTAAAGTTAAGCACACGAAAATCATAAATGAAGTGCACACTATTGAAAAAGATTGGAGATCATACTTCTGATGATTGTTTTAGGTACGCCAAAATCGATTATGACTTGAGAAAGACTTTCAATGAAGTCGATACATCGTCACCAATATTTTGTGCTTTGGGGTTTGATCGCCGTGACTAAAACATGCATAGTTCCTCAATATTTAGCCCCAGTTTTAAAGTTGGATCCACGCCCCAATATCCTGCAAGCTGGATATTTCATTTAAAGGATGTAACCGTAGGTTTTGGAGAAGCGTCTGCTGTATTTCAGTGCTGGCATCTACGTAACAGGCCATGAGGTTCAGTCTAAAGTACTTGTTTGGAAAACCGTTGTTGTCCACTGTGCGGCTCTCGATTTCCATTCTGTCAGTGTTTTGAGGTTGTGGAAATTCACGGTCACCCTCCCCAGACAGATAAGGGCACTTCACTTTGAGATCAAGAAGACATAATTTAGCTCATGCGTTGGTGCTCTAATTCGGAGATCGTTGTTTCGTCGGCTGAAACGTGCACCCTTCGGACAGAGCTTACACGATGTCTCTGTAGTCTATGATCCTATCGCGCTCGTGTAAATATGCCCAGTAATGTTGCAGTTTGTATGACTCGTTGTGGATTGTTTGTGGTCAGACCTAAACGGTCCGATTCCCAGTTGGGTCTATGGATTGGCAATACTGATGTGATCCAACCAGACTGGAACGGCTGTCGAGTAATTCCGAGCTTTTCACTACACGCTACATTAATACGATGAATTTGTCATGTAGTCTTCTAAAAGAGTGTCGAATGATTGATTCGTTTATATTTCCGGACACCGGTTTTTCTCTTTTTCATTTTAATTATTATAACTATTCCAAGAGAAGACTATAATAAGAAATCCCTAGAAGAGGGTTGGGAAGCAGGTAATTGTATATAACAAGGATATCGGAAGCAGAAAATCCGAATTCACCGGGGCGTTTCGGGGAGGCTGTATTCAGTGATAGATAACCTCCGCCTGGCACGATATTCCCTCATAGGTATCAATACACTCGGCAGTATAAGAGGTTACCGTGCTATATTGCGTGATGTAAACTAGGAACAGGAAATTTTCGTTGTCTTTTTGTAAAGTTTAGCTTTACAAACAAAATATATACAAACGCTTATGCATATCGGATAGAAGGTGAATCGGGCAATGTATGAAGAAGGAATTTTTCTGAAAGGCTCTGTTCCAAAGTGTCGGGTGTCACTCGCTACGAACTTCTATGTCTTTATCCACGCTCAATAATTGTCAATGAAAGACTGATGTAAATTGAGATTACTGGACTTGGAAAGCTAACTGTACTCTGTGTGACATTTAGTATGCTCACAATCAGAGAAGGGTTTTCATATTGATTACCAAAATATCATATTACTTGTAAGTTCAACAGGCATCACAACTTGAGAAGTAAATTAAAAAAATTCAGGTATGTATCCGTGTGTGCCGTAAAACCGGATGACATACATTTTCATTTTGGGGTGTTTTCGTGCCCGAGTCCGGTTCCTGCTCGATCTTGCTTACCGACTCCTGCTGAACACGACTGGGAAGCATGCTCATTCGCCGGTAGCTTAGCCGTCTTAGGTCCATGGAAGTTCTGGAGCGACGATGAAGCCAGCTTTGGGCGGCCAATTTTTCCGGACACGCAACCTCCAAGGCCTAAATAAATTTCGGGAGTGCAAAATAAAGACAATTGTAATGAACATATTAATAAACTGTGCGGGTTTAGTTGTTAGTTGAGATTTGATAAATTATTGATGAACACTGCCACCTTTTCTATTTGTGAAACACTGTTGGTCATGATAATATATACTGAAGTAAAATGCACCCTGTAATGGGAAATACTTAAAAGTACACTCTACAGTAGAGGATACATTGATGTCAATGTGCTCGATATCAAAGGAGATCAATGACTGCTGGGGTACTTTGTGTAGATACTTGAAAAAGGAATATCGTCCTAAAATACTGTTTTTATTGAATGTTTCCATCGCATGTTCTTTGTACACTTGTTTTCGTTTATCCCACATGGCATACCACAATATCGAGAAACGGGCAGTACATCGCCTTGCCAAGTATGCCTTCGATTGTCCGTTTGGTTTGGGTTGCATGATATCTTGATCGATAATTGCAAATTGGCTGATGGCACAGTAACTGAAGATATGAAAAAACGGTGTTCGCCTTCCAATCAGCGTTTCGTCGTATGATCGATAACAGGCGTTTCACAGAGAAACCACGCAGACCAACATTCGGATGTGTCAAGCTAATTGTTGGGAATTAGATGACTGGAATATTTTCTCTATCGAGAGACTGGACTGTCGGTAATTTCTGTTTAATTTATTGAAAAATCTCAAACACGCGCACACAGTTGCATATTATTAGCGGAGAGTTATAGGGGTCGGGTATTATTGATGTTTACTGCATGCAACTTTGTAAACTGTATACACTATCCTACGCAAGTATTGAAAGTAATCATCAAATGCCGTGGTTGATGTGCAGCTCGATAATAAGAAGGTCGTACTTCTCCATGGTGTCCCACAGTTGGACGATCCGGATGAACCGAAAGGTCATCAGAACGACCGAAAGGAATGGCTATTCATTTAAAATCTACTTGAGTGTAGCGACTTTTTGACAACTTCAATCAGTCGTCTTCCGTGTTCACTACATTACCGTGGTAACCGTCCGAGGATAATGAAGGTTACCCTTGGAACTCCAGAAATGTCGAACACAGTTATGGCGGGAAAGAAATAAAAGAGGATCTCCGGAACTACATGTGAGACCCCTACGCAATCCCGAGCTCAAAGTACACCCAAAACTGGAGAACCCTTCTGATGCACCAGATCACTCCATGCAGGTATCGAACTCCGTCACGCAACCCGTGGTCCAAAGTACTAGGGCTCCTCTGCCAAAAACCTAATGATAGCCGACCGAGAACGGAACAGCCGAGATACCACTTCCTACCCAAGCGGATTTCCACACCGACAGTATCTAAACTGTTTCTACTTTAACGCTGAAGGACTCCTTTGCAAATTTTAAGAGTTGAATTTACGTTTTATATCTAGTCAATGGGATATTATTGCTGTTGCAGAGACTTGGCCCACAGCTTATATTTTGGACTCCAAATTGTCTCTACTCAGAAGCGATTGTCCTACCCGTGGTGGTGGTGGAGTTTTGCTCTACTACCGAAACAGTCTGGATTGCGAGCGAATCTACTCTGCCGTTTCGACACCGAACACTCTGTGGTGCAGGTTGAAATTGTCCAAACATGATGATTGTTTGGTTGGTGTAGTCTAACGTCCCCTATCATCCCTGAAGACCGTCAATGAAACGCTTTTACTAACTATGTCACATTCTTACGCAAAAATTTACCCATGTTCTCCTTATGGGTGATTTCAACTGCCCCAATCTCAATAAATTTTCGACCGTCCGTTCATTTTTTGAACATCATTTCAAACGGCTGATTGACTCGCATCCACTACACAACTATGTGAAGGTGGTCACTAGGTTTGGCAACCTACAGTCACCGTCCATACTGGATTTAGTGTTGACCAATGAGGGGCTGATGGTAGAGTCTGTCAATGTGACTTCTCCCCTAGGACGTAGCGATCATGCAGTACTTACATTCAAATACGTCTGTTACGCTTCGATTCAAGGAAGTTCCTCTGGTAACACGCGCAGATCTATAGACTATACACTGTCGAATAACTTGGCGCTCTCTGCTCAGTGGGTTTCTTATGACTAAGAAGCTAATCCGTTGGTCGCATGGAAGAAATTTACTGAGAATCTCACAAATATAATAACATCCGTGACTAAAACTAGAGTAATCACCAAATCCGGCATCCGAAATTCACCTATTCGAAGCCGCACAAAGAAATGTC